GGGACAAAAGCGGGACACCATTGATAAAACTCATATCCATTCCTGGCGAAATAGCCACATGGCAGCCAAAAACCATCTACCCTAGCTTGTCGTGCATTCTTTCCAAAAATCGGGACTTTTAAAAAAATGCCACGGGACGCGGGAAAAATTGTTAAAAGTCAGGACTGTCCCACCAAAAGTGGGACGTCTGGTCACCTTACTCTTAGGGTAGGGTAGAACTGCCCCTGTGGGTTTCCTGAGACTGGAACTTTCTATGGGAGTAGAACGCCTATCTTTCTCCCTTAGACCAGCTGGTGGTTTCAAACTGCTGACCCTGCAATTAGCAGCCCCCAATCAACCATTTGCGATGCCAAGGGCAGCATCTGTCCAAGCACAGAGTTCAGAAGGGCTAGGGAAGGAAGCGAGGGGACACACAGGGTAAGCATTGTCACCTTGCAGGCCCGGGGCCTGTGTCAGGCCCCTGGGAGCTCACCGGGACCTGGAGCGTGGCTGGCCAACCGCAGACAAGGAAGAAGGCAGCAGGCCGCTGGGTCGTGAGGACTCTCTTCTCTGAATGCACCGGCCTTTCTGAGTGCTCCAGTCCTGGGGGCCATAGCCTGGTGGGTAACTCCTCTGGCCCATGCCAGGCAGACAGGCTCTCGTGCAAAGTGCTTCCCCCAGGGTCTTTCCTCAACATTAAGACACTGCTCTCTCTCTTTCTAGCCTATTTTTTCTGGTAGCATAGTGGTTATGGGTTGGGCTGCTAACCTCAAGGTCAGCAGTTCAAAACTGCCAGCTGCTCTGAGGGAGAAAGATGAGGCTTTCTACTCTCTTAAAGAGTTACATTCCCAGAAATCCAGAGGGGCAGTTTAACCGTGCCCTGTAGGGTCACTGTGAGTTGGCATTGAGTCAATGGCAGTGAGTCTGAGTCCTGGTGGCATAATGGGTAACTACCAGCTGCTCCGAGGGAAAAGGATGAGGCTTTCAACTCCCATAAAGAGAGACAGTCTCAGAAATCCACAGGGGCAGTTCTACCTTGTCCTATAGGGTTGCTATGAGTGAGGGCAGACTCTATGGCAGTGAGTGTGAGTTTTAGAGGCATCATCAGTTCCAGCACCGATGCTCCCATTCTTCCCACTGGTTACACCACAGACCACCTGCAGTCCCTGCAGCCTCCCTTCTCTGCCTGCACCTCTGTTGGTTACTGGTTGGTGCCTGCCCCCATCCCACGAGGAGGGATGTGACAAGTGGGAACACCAGGAGGGGAGGGCATCCAGAGATCTCAATGTGAGAGATGATCCTCATTTGCCAGGTGACCTTGAACCTCTCTCCACCCAGGGTCCCCGGTGGAGACAGAGAGTGCTGGTAGGGTACGCTGGCATTGGGAAGTTTCCAGCTGCAGCATGCACATGACCCACAGACAGAGAAGGATGGATCCCCAAAGCAGCTGTGTAAGAAGGCTCGTGGGCGCTGTGAGGGAATGCCACACAAAGACACTCTTGTCTCCATTTCCAAGCTCCACAGCAGAGGCTGGGTGTAGGGGTTGGGGGTGGGCATGGAGATGCTGCTGCAAGGTAGACAGCTGTGATTTCCAGAGAGACAACAGGCCACAGCTACAGGGCAGCTCTGAGGATGGGCACTGTGGATAGTCTATGAGTGTTGGACAGCCTGGGCTGGACCCTCAAGTCCTTCTCGCTAAGCAGCCCCCCACAGCCTCTAGTAGAGATGTTGGGGAAGAGCCTGTTTTATGAGCAAGCAGAGGGACCCTGATGGCAGACTTAGCTGGTCTGGACCATCATCAGACCTCTCTTCCTATATCTTGACCCTGTCGTTGCCTGTGTAAAATGACACATATTATTCTGGACCAACCTAGTTCATATAGTATCAACCCATTCAACTCTTAATAGCTCTATGAAGCAGGTAGCAGGATGTACTATATGAAACAGCCCACCAGTGGGCCAAGAACATTCGAAACTATCATCTGGAAATCTCTATCCCAGATAACTACCCAGAGAAAATGGAAACCTGTACCCCATGTTCATAACACCGCCAATTCAACTGCAATACCAAAGAGATGGACATGACCCAAACGCCCATCTAGAGATGGACAGACACAACCTGGCCAGTCCACATGATGGAATATGACTCAGCCATACAGAGACATGAAGTCTGAATGGATGTCATGAAGTCCACCATGTCGAGAAGCCTTCAAGACAAGGCCTGAGCCAAATAAGTCCGTCGCAAAAGGACACTGAGGTAGTTAGTTATTGTGCCAAGCTGACCAATAAACACATGTGGGGTTAATTGTGCAGAGACATGTGCGGAGAGATAAATGGCTCAGTGAGCCTCGCCTTTCGAGTTCTCGGGTCTCTTGCTTTGTAATGGTCGGACAAGGGGGCAGTTGCCTTGGCCAGTTCCTTGCTTCAGCTGGCAGGGCTCACTTCCTGCAAGACATCCCCGAGGAGAAGCCACATGGGCCTATCCTGATGCATCCCTGGGTGCTGGAGCAGCCGTGTAGAGACCCCTGCCAGCGCGGAGATGATTACACACGTTCACTGATTCAGCTTTCCTCCTGCAGTCAGCATCATAGGGTGTGTTTTGTGAGATGGAGGAGGACTTTGTGGATTGGTGTTGGACATATGGGTTAATGGGTTAATGTTGGACTTGTGGGCTTGGGCAACAGTGGGTTGGGATGGTTCCTTGATGTGCACTTGCTCTTTATATAAAACTCTCTCTTATACATATGCGTTGCTGTGGATTTGTTTCTCTAAAATACCTAGACTAACACAGACACCTAGTGCCTGAGCTCACTTAGAGGAAATAAGAAAATCTACAGAAACCCAAGTTGATTTGTGGTTACCAAAGGGTGGAGCAAGTGGGAAAGGCGGAGCTTTTGCTGGGGGGGTGCTGAGTTTCTGTTGAGGGCGGTGGCACATTTTGGAGGAGGGTGGTGAGAAAGGTTTGAGGACATGAAAAATGCCATTGCTGTCACTGGGTGGCGTGTATGGAAGCTGCTGTGTTGACAGACACAATGGCATGTATGTTTTCACCACCATTTGAAAAAAAGAGAAAGAGAACTGTGGAAACTTGGCAATTTCATGGGGCTCATCCTACCAGCGGCATACCATTTCAGAGATGAAGAAAGTAGGAGCATATTGGACATGTAAATGGACCGAGGCCACACAGCGAGAATCTACAGTCCAACTAGTCTGCCATCTGGTTTCGTACCGATGGCTTGAAGAGCCAGGAGGTGTGGGCTTAGCTCTAACAAGAAGTGGAAACACCCACATGGAAGTGTCCTATCTCTCCTCATGCAAGCCGCCCCGTGGTTCCTCCCACCCCTGAACACCTTTGGGTCTCCCAGCCCAGCCCCACCTGGTTGCAGGAAGGTACCTTTCCACGTCACTGTCACTGGATGCCACTTCTTCCAAGGCTGCCTGCAGATCAGCAATCCTTCGGATAGATGTCTCCAGGTCGGTCTGGAGGGTCTGCCTCACGGCCGAAAGCTCCTCTACATACTTTTCCTAGGATGGAAACCACAGCTCAGGTTGGCTTTAGCAAAACCTGTTTCTCCTTCAGAGCTCTGGGGATGAGGAATGGTCTGGAGGAGGCCAGCGCTCACCAAGCACCTGTAGCGTGGTGGCGACACCAATGACATCAATGCGTTCATTTTATTTGGCTCAAGCATCAGTGGCCATGGAAGCAGCAGGCAAGAAATCAACCCAAACATGACTTTGGGCAAGTTTACTGCAAAAGAACACCTTAATGATGTTTCAGCAACAAAGACGCTACTTTGATGAGGAAGGTACCCTTCCCGTGGGCTTTGCAAGCAGTTTCCATTCTTGTGAAAGTGGAATGATGAAACAGGGAGACAGTTGAACTGACGTATTGACATTTTTGTGGTGTTGGCACAGTGTGTTGAGTATACCACGGACAGACAAAAGAATTAATAACTCCGTCTTTGAAGGAATATAACAAGAGTCCTTTTTGGAAGCAATTCACTTCCATAGAGTCGATGCTAACTCATGCAACTCTATGGGGCAGAGTACAACTGCCCCTGTGTGTGTATGACGCTTAAGGGGAGCCCTGGTGGCGTAGCGGTTATGTATTAGGCTGCTAACCCAAAGGTCAGCAGTTTGAAACCACTAGCCATTCCAATGGAAAAAGACAGGGTTTTCCACTCTCACTAACCGTCTTGGAATTTCACAGGGACAGCTGTACCCTCTCCTAGAGGGTCAAGTGTATGTCATCTCATGTTGGCATAGACTCGATGGCCGTGAGTGTGCCTTTTGGTTTGAAGCAAAGCCATGGTAGTGTATTGGTTGAATGTTGGGCTGCTCACCCCAAGGCCAAGCAGTTCAAAACCACCAGTTGCTTTGCAGGTGAGAGATGGCCTTTCTACTTCTGATAAGAGTTACAGTCTCGAAAACTCAACTGGGCCAGGTCTACCCTGTCCTATAGGGTTGCTATGAGTCGGCATTGACTTGTTGGCAGTGAACTTGGTTTGGTTTGAAAATCTTTACAGGCACAGAGAGCCTTTCTTTCTACTGCCAAGCAGCTGAACTTGTTGTTATCAGCCCAAATAGCAACCTACCATGCCACTAGGGCGCCCTCAGCAGCAAGCGAGATCTTGACTTATTGTGGACACATTGTCAGGATAGACTAGTGGCTAGATAGGATATCATGTTGGTTTCAGGACACCGAATTTGGACAATGAAAATGAGTATATATTCTTGATGAACTGGATTGACCAGACAGCCACAAGGATGCGCTCAAACCCAGCTGTGAACATGAAGATGGCACAGAAATGGGCACTGCTTCCTTCTGTTGGATGAGGGGACTCTAGGAAGTTCATGGAGAAATTCCATTGTCTTCCATACTCATTTTTCCATCAGTGCTTGAAGCCCCTTTGTAGGTGAGGTCATTGTGAGTTGGAGACATGTCGACAGCAACTAACAATTCCATGAGGGACTCCTGGTGGGCTCAGAAGGGTGGTCAACCCATTGTATAGACGAGGAGATGAGTATCAGGGGGTCTCTGGGACACGCTCCAAGGATGCAGTGCTCACCCACCCATACGATCAGCCCCCAGAGCCAGGTCCTGAGTCTGGGCTCCTTGGTGCCAGGCACTACGTGGAAGTCCCCATGCAAACCAGCTTGTGTGCTTCCCAGAGCAGGGTCAGAGGCTGGCTGAATCCCACCCTGGTGGGTGGATCTAGAGTGGGAAGTCGGGGGCTGTCAGACTATGAGGAGTTCCTTTTGCACCTGCTACCTAGTCTCCCCAACCTGTCCACACCCTAAGACTACATAGATGAGAGGATGGTGAGACTTTATGTTATTGTGATATGGAATCAGGAGAGACCAGTCCCTGGAGAAAGACTTTACACTCGGTAGAGCGTCAAGGAGATAGATGAAGATCCTCGTCAGGATGGATTGGCACAGTGGCTGCATCAATGGCCTCAAACATAATAAGAGTTGTGAGGGCGACATAGGGCGGACCTGTGTGTTGTCGTCTCTCTGCATTGGAACGCATTTGACAGCATCTAACAGCAGCAACGCACGCTCATCAGCAGGGTGGGTGGTGCAAACCATTTGCCATTAGCTGCTAACCTAAAGATCAGTGGTTCAAAACCACCTAGCAGGGCCATGGAAGATCTGCTTCGGTAAAGACACAGGACCCGAGGACCTCCAGCATCAGGATAGCTCCAGCATAGGCAGCCACGTCGGTGTGAACTGTCTGCTGGACTCAGTTTAGAGCCCTTTATACACCATCTAACTCAGCACTCACGGCATTCTGACTGGTGGGTCCCTATCATTACTCCCATTTCACAGATGAGGCATTGAAGTCTCGGGAAATACTTGGGCTTGAACTTGGAGCCTCAGACTCTCTTCTTCATGCTCATTCCCTTAAGATCTCACCCAGAATTTCCAAGAAAACTCAGACTTCCGTTTACAACATATTCCATACACCACCACCCTCTAAGTAGATGGTGGTCACCTGAGGGTGACTGGACATGATCCTGGGGACACCTGGCTGTGTCTGGTGATATTGCTGGTTGTCACAATTTGGAGGCTGGGGCTACTATTGAACATCTTATATGACAGAACACAGGGCATCTCCCACTGCAAGGCCTTATCCCACCTAAATGTCAAAGATGCTCAGCCTGAGGTCAAGCCAGAATTCCACCTTCTGGGACTGACCCAATGGTTACCATAACAGGCACCAACATACGAGTTGTGAGGAGGGAGCAGGACTGGGCAGTGTTTTGTTCTGTTGTGGGTAGGGGTCATTGTGTGTTGGAGCCCACGTTAATCACACCTAGCAACAACCTTAGGTATAAACATCATTCCCAGTCTGCCTGGGGGAAAGAAGAGACCCAACTCCCAGGGATGATGGGAGTGCTTCCCTGCACCCCCTGCTCTGTGGGCTATGCCCTCCATAGTTCTCCAGGCCCCTCCAGCTGATGCCTCCTCGGGCCTACCCTGGGGAGACTGGGGTGCTGCATCCATTTAGCATAGTGAGTTGCTCTCTGAAATCAGCACATTTCATTTGGCTTTGAGTAGAAGCAAGAAAGGCTTGCTGATTGCTGATGACACAGAGTCTGAATATTCCACGTTTCTCTCCTTTCTTGGTGATTCCAATGAGCCTGAGGGGGGCTCTCGGTGGATGGAGGATGGGGATGTGGAGGGCAAGGGGGAAGGTGGGAGGTGGTGGCAGACCCAACCCCCACCCTTTGTCCATCAACTCCTATCTACTGATGGTTTTTCTCCCTGATCCTCACAATGCAGCCCTGTGTCCTATGGTGGCTTTACTAGGTTTGATGGTGAAGACCCATTCCACCATCCTCATTCACTGCTTGACCTCAGGCTCAGCATCTTTGACATTTAGGTGGGATAAGTCTTTGCAATGGGAGCTGTCCTGTGTTCCAAGTGCTCTAAGATGTGGGTCACCCTATTTGGCTTTTCCTCTATTCTGTTCCCTTTGCTGATCCTCAATTAACAGAAGCATTCCACATGGCCACAACCCTTAGTCCTAATTCGAACATTGGCCTAATAACATTGGGAGACACAGGTGGTTTCCCCAACCATTCACAAGTTTTGTATGATGAGGTGACCCTAGCTTCTCTGTGTCTTCCCTAGTGCCCCTCCAAGCATCCTCTGGCACTGAGCTTCCACTCAGCCTTTCTTCTGAGCTCGACTTAAAGAGATTGATCTTCTCTAGGGACTGATGCCTCCTGAAAACATGTCCAAAGTTCATGAGGTGAAGTCTTGCCATTCTTGCATCTAAAGAGCACTATGACTGTACTTCTTCCAAGACAGCCTTGTTGGTTCTCCTGGGAGGCCATGGTCCTCCCCATACGCTCCACCAGCATGACAATTAGTCTCCGTTCTCCTTGGGCTTTCTGGGACATCTGACTAACAAGACTCAGGCTCAGGTCAGGGCTGCTTTGTGAAGGGGGCTGTGTTTTGAGGCCAGCTTCTAGCCAGTGTCGCTGTCTGGGACACGTGGAGATGATATTTCAGGGGGAAATGAGGATAGAAAACAATTTAGGAAACTATTTGGCCAAGGTGTCCCTGGGTGGTACACAAATGCACCCAGAGGTAACTTGGAAGAAAGGCCTGGTGATGTACTTCCCCCAAAATAGCCATTAAAAACCAAATAGAACACAGCTGTACCCTGACCATGCATCAGAACTGACTCAATGGCAACCATTTATTTCTATTTTTTAGCATGGATGTAGGTTGCACCTATTAAAGTGTAAGGAGCCCAGGTAACACAATGGGTTAAGTGTCTAGCTGCCGACTAAAGTTGACCCCACCAGCAGTTAGTTCTGTGCGGAAAAGGTGTAACAGACCCTCCTGTAAAGACGGAAAGGCACAAAAACTTATGTGCAAGCACTGGCTGGCCTAGGCACAGGAGGGATCTGAATAGATCAAGTCCTAAGTTCCTCGGAGCTGACATTCCTGGAAAGACCTGTATTACTGGTGTATGGCACACAGCAAGTACGTCAACCTATCTGGGGAGACGGAAGGAACGGTGTTATTTTATAACTATTAGTAATCAGGAGAGACCTACCCCTGGAGAAGAGCATCGTGTTTGGGAAAGTAGAGGGGTGGCAAAGAAGAGGAAGACCCTTGACAAGATGGACTGACATCGCGGCTTCAACAATGGGCTCGGACATAACAATTGTGAGGATGGTGCAGGACCGAGGAATGCATCCTTCTACTGTGTGGAAGATTACTATGAGTTGGAACTATTCATGCATTTTCTTTAAACTCAGCTATACCTACCAACAGCAATATGACCATGAGTAGTGAAGGAAGGAAGGAAGGAAGGAAGGAAGGAAGGAAGGAAGGAAGGAAGGAAGGAAGGGTGAGGCCATTGTACACACACCAATATATAACATACAACATGTATACAGAAATAAGGAGCACTAGGTAGGGAGCACTACTGGCGTAGTGGTTATGAATTGTGCTGCTAACTACAAGCTTATTAGTTCGAAACCACGAGCTGCTCTGAGGCA